CACACACACACACACACACACACACACACGGACAGGTTCCCTCAGCAGGTTTTCACACACGGTGCACCACATGCTGTGTTATCAGGGTAATGAATTCTTGGCAGGAAAGGTTGAACACACGAGGCAGGAGGACATGGAAGTGTTGCCCAACATTTAGACACAACAAACCGATGTGCGTCACAAACTCTGTCTGAATGATGGGACATGAGTGGACCCGCTGACTTTAAGGAGCTCATAATAGCTTTAAATGCTAAAGAAACTAAATAAAGTCGTTTTAATGCAGAGAGGTAACAGCAAGCTGCTCTGTTTCTGGTATAAAAAAGAAAAGAAAAAAGAAAAGTGTAAATCGTGTCCTCGCGCAGCTCTCAGAGCAGAGGCGCGCAGCAGCAGGGAGGAATTAAAGGGGAAAAGTGAGAGTCCGGACCGGTGCTGGTACTCACGCACTGCCTCCTGTTTGGGGTCCAGTTCTGTGCAGGTCTGCTGGAGGTGTGCGACCCTAGCCTGCACACCCCGGACCCGCTGGCTGCTGGTCACCAGCTCGTCCTCCAGCTCCTGGAAAATGGAGCAGGCGTGTCTGGCCAGGTCCGACAGCTGCCGCAGGCTCCGAGACAGAGCCACGTTACTGACGGACACCAGGTCCTCGAAAACCAGACCCTCCTCGTTTGGGACTTGGTACCTGCACAGTAACTGAGGCTCCACGGCTCGTTTGGAGAAAGGCATGATGTTGTTGTTGTTGTTGTTGTTGTTGTTGTTGTTGTTGTTGTTGTTGTTGTTGTTGTKGAGAGGGGAGAAGAAATCCAGCAAAAGTCACCAAAGAGTGAGCAGAAACTGCTGCGTTTCTCCCGGACCCCCACCCTCAGTCTCAGTCCCTGATCCAGCCTTTTTGAATTCAGCTGCTGCTGGTGGCCCCCATCCTTTCATCCGTTAGAGAGGACTGTGGCCCTCCTCGCTGCCGCAGCGCGCCGGGTCGTCTGCTGTCCCAGCGCTGCTCCCACTGGTTTCTCTCTGCTCCAAACTGGAGCTGGTTTTTTAAAAAACGGGCGGCGGGAAGACCTGGACYGGATTTCCAGGACTGTGTGGAGCAGGATTCACCAGGAGCCAAACACTGTATAACTACATTATAGTCAGAGTTGTAAAGTAACTACAAATACTTCATTACTGTACTTACGTAGAATTTTTGAGTATCTGTACTTTACTTGAGTAAATCTTTTTCAGCCTACTTTTTACTTCTTACATTTTCACACAATTATCTGTACTTTCTACTCCTTACATTTAAAAAAAAGGCAAGAAGTTGAAATTGTTATTTTTATTTCATTTTGCTTGTTTTCATTCCAGCTTGTTATTGTAAAAAAATCAATACTATCCACATAAACTGTGCCTCCTAGATTGAGCGCATATATTTGTGGTTGAATGAGAAGTATGAATATATAAAGTTCTGAGACTGTATTAGTTTGTACACAAACAAATCATGTCACACTCCAGCAGGACATAATCATTAAAATAAAAGTACTGTACTTAAGAAGTATTTGTATTTCATGAATCATAGTATTACATTTGGCCGCAGCCCTCAGATAGATTTTCATTTTGGAGAAAGCTTTGTGCAGCCTTGATATATCTATATAAACTGAAACAGCTGGACTAGTGCATCCTAAATTTAACATAAATTAATTATTTTAATATGATATAGTCATTATTACATAAGCACTATTAGCACTATAAGCATTATGACACAACCCCTCCCTACCTGATGCTCTGGACAGGTTCTACAGCCATTTTGAAGATGCCAGCACCTCCACCAGCATCACACTCGACCCTGCACCAGAAGAAGAGCCCATCTTCATGAGCCCAGCAGAAATGAGGAATCCTCTCCAGAGGATAAACCCTCACAAAGCAGCTGGTCCTGACAACATCCCAGGATGAGTTTTGAAGGACTGTACTGAACAGCTTTCTGATGTGCTTACAGACATCCTGAACACCTCTCTCTCACAGGCAGCTGTCCCCACCTGCCATAAGACCRCCACCATTATCCCCGTCCCAAAAAACCTCCACAATCACAAGCCTAAATGACTATCGGCTGGTAGCTCTGACCCCAATAGTCATGAAGTGCTTTGAAACACATTAAAGGTTCCATCAGCATCACTGTCGACCCACACCAACACACCTACAGGAAGAACTGGTCCACTGAGGACGCCATCTCCTCTGTGGTTCACACCACTCTCACCCACCTGGAGAACAGAGACTCTTATATGCACCTGCTCTTTATGGACTTCYCATCAGCCTTCAACACCAGCATCCCACAAACACTGGTCCAAAAACTGTCCTCCCTCGGACTGAGCTCATCCCTCTGTCACTGGGTGCTGGATTTTCTGACGAACAGGCCTCAGTCTGTGAGAATCCACAACATGTCCTCATCCCCCATCACTCTCAGCACAGGCTTCCCCCAGGGCTGCGTGTTGAGCCCCCTCCTGTTCACGCTGCTCGCATATGATTGCGCAGCAACACACCCAGACTGTCAGACAGTGCAATGTGAGGATGACACAGCTGTAGTTGGCTGCATCACCAACAATGAGTCTGGCTACAGGTAGGAGGTGCAACGTCTGGAGCACTAGTGTAGACTTCCAGTTTCTTGATAAATGCTATACCTGCTGCTACAGTTGTGTTAATGTATCATTTTGCACACTGTCTGCTGGAGCTGTCGATGCTCGTTTATGTAAATATTTCAATTTCAATTTTAATGTAATATTTCTCACTTTATCGTTCACACTGTGCAGCCAGTTTCGTAACCTTTCATGAACATCTGATGTTTGTGTATGAGGGAATGACAAATAAACATCACTGAATCCTTGAATCCTTGAAAACTTGAATTTTATTTCCTGTCTTCAGCTTTTGGCAGCAACAATCAAAATCAAGTCATGTTTTAGTGTCTGTTGGCTCATACTGTRGAAGCTCATTTCCACCATTTTGAAACTGTTGAGGTACCTAAACAGGAGGGTGGAACAATACTATCAAAAAATTAATCACGATTAATTTGTGGCATTTAGCCGAAACTGATGAGAAGCCGAGAGCAAATGTTTTTCGCAGACAAATTTTCCCCCTGGTTAACGGTGAGTGTTTTCTCGAGATAACGAGTTATGGTTTTCCTCTTGTGTGTCATTTGATAACCATGTAGACGGCCTGGTCCTCTCAGCTGGTCATTGATCAAGTTTACCAATCGACTGCAGCTCAGCAGGTGTTTACATTTAAATGATCCTGCTGATGTGATAAACTTCCTCAGTGATCAGCTGAGGGGACAATCCAATTCCACGGTTAACGAATGATGCACAAGAGGAAAACCATAACTTTTCTCGAGAAAACACTCGTTATTTTGTGATAACGACATGTCTTTAACAGAAAAAGCATGGAAAATAATTATATGCAAAAAAACGCACGCTCTAACTCTGTAATTAATAGATGACTATTGTACTTGCAAGTATTTTTACACTGAATCAGTTACCGTATGTTCTAAAATTATACTTACAAATCATCAGTCAAGCTRACGTCTTCATTTTAACTGGTTAAAATGGTCAGCTGTGAATTGAAACTTTAATTTCACCAACGTTGAGTGGCAGCACATCATTAAAAACACAACGTGCCACGGGCTCACAGTGAGAGTGCATCCACCTATACCCACTTCTTCCTTTCAGGGTCACAGGGGGTCACTGGTGCCCATATCCACCAGTCACTGTGCAAAGGGTAGGGGACAGCCAGGACAGGTSTCCAGCCCATCACAGGGACACATACAGACAAACAACCATTCACTCTCACCTGGGAACAATTCAGAGTTACCAGTTAACTTAACAGTCATGTTTGTGGTCTGTGGGAGGAAACCAGAGGTGTAAAATAATACAGAAAAATTACTTTCTGCACGTAAATTTTGGYTACCTGTACTTTATTTGAGTAATTATTTTTCAGATGACTGTTTTACTTCTACTCCTTACATTTTTAAAAAGGTAAAAMRTAGAAAGTAATTACTCCTAATTCATTAGCTTGTTTTCATTCAGGCTGTCATTATTAAAGAAATAAAAACCTATCAGGTATGCAGCACCTCCCRGATAGAGTGAATTTAAATGTGATTGAATGAGAAGTATAACAATACATTTTAACAGCCYATTGGTTGTAACTGTGATCTGTCACATCACACTCCAGGTCATAGTAGACCTATGCAGAGGTGGGCAGTAACGAAGTAAATTTACTTGAGTATTGTACAGAAGTACAGTTTTAGAAATTTTATATTTTACTTCAGTTGCATTTATTTAGGAAAACGTTTTACTCCACTATAATTCTCTAAAAGTTTCATCCTGAGAAAGAAAGAAAGAAAGAAAGAAAGAAAGAAAGAAAGAAAGAAAGAAAGAAAGAAAGAAAGAAAGAAAGAAAGAAAGCACTGGTGAACTCAACAATGCAAAAAGACATGGGCGCCCACAGAAAGACAACAGTGGTGGATGATGGCAGAATAATCTCCATGGTGAAGAGAAACACCTTCACAACAACCAACCAAGTGAACAACACTCTCCAGAGGAAGTATCAATATAAAAATCTACCATAAAGAGAAGACTGCATGAAAGTAAATACAGAGGGTTCACTGCACGCTGCAAGCCACTCATAAGCATCAAGAATAAAAAGGCTAGACTGGACTTTGCTAAAAAAAAACATATAAAATTCACATCCAAAGCACCACATCATCTGTAAAACACAGCAGAGGCAGTGTGATGGTTTGGACATGGCTGCCTGTGGCACTGAGTCAGTGTTTACTGATGATGTGACACAGGACAGAAGCAGACAGTTGATCTCTGAGGTATTCAGAAACAAACTGCTCAAATCCACACAAATGAAGTCGAACTGATTGGTCTGTGTTTCATAAGAGAGATGGACAATGACCCAAAACATAAAGCCAAAGCAAACCAGGAGTTTATTAAAACAAAGAAGTGGAATATTCTTGAATGGCCAAGTCAGTCATCTGATCTCAACCCAACTGAGCATTTCTCTGGATTTCAGACAGAAAGGCTCACAAACAAACAACTGAAAACACAGCAGTAAAGACCCAGCAGAGTATTATGAAAGKAGGAAACACAGCGTCTGGTGATGTCCATGAGTTCAAGACTTCAGGCAGTCATTGCCAACAAAGGCTTTTCAACCAAGTATTAGAAATTACCATTTTATTTATAATTATTTCATCTATCCAATTACTTTTAAGTCCCTGACATGAAGGGATTGTGTTTAAAAGATGCTTTAGTTCCTCATATTTCTATGCAATTATTTTGTTCAACCCACTGAATTAAARCTGAAAGTCTGAACGTCAACTGCATCTGGATTGTTTTGTTTAAAATTCATTGTGCTCATGTCTGGAACCAAAATGTTATCTCTGTCCAAATAGATACGGACCTAACTGTWCTTTTACTTTTATTGGAGTAATATTTGACGAGTAGAATCAGTACTTTGAATCAAATAAGAAAACTGAGTACTTTGAACTCATACGTATTATTATAAAGGTGTTTGTGGCAGAGGTAAACAGCTGAAGCAGGTAGCCCAGTGTAGCTCTGATCTTTCTACAAAAACATTTTACTATCACATTCTAGTTATTAGGAAAATGTTTTTGGGGCAGTTACCTCCCAATAAATGCATTTTTTGATATTTTAATTAGGGCTGTCAAATGATTAAAATTTTTTATCTATTAATTCCAAGGCAGCTGTGACTTAATCACGATTAATCTTAAAGTTAATATCAAACTTTAAAATTTTAAATATTATTTATTTATTAAATAAAATAAAATAAGCCATAAGAAGACAAAAAGAAAAAAAAGCTGTACATAATGTGTTACACGTGGAGTTTTTTTATATTATTTATTTCACCTTTATTTATCTAAACTGTTTGAGAACCACTTCTCATTTACAAACATGACCTGTCATGCACTGAGTGCATTGCCATAWACAAWCCTACATATTYAGCCAYAGTA